TTCAAAACCTGGCAAGTACCAATGTGACTTTTTCCGAGTTATATGTACTTTCTATGATTTAGACACCACTGCCATACGGCAAAGAAAAACATTGTGAGGAAACTTAGACTTTTAATTTTGTAATTATGTATAAGTTTGAAATCGACAATCCGCTTTGAGCAAGCGTGGAGATTAATGCTCAAACCTTCAAGTGTGAAAAGAGGTCTTTGCTCAGCAGTGGGCACTCATAGGCTGATGATAGGTAAGTAATGTGGTTAATTGACTTATCCAAGTCTAACCTCACAGATTACTGGCACGACACAAAGTTTTCGTTGTTTCGTGTGAGTGACATCCATCACCATCTTCGATTCTCCAATCCCTTACAACCCACAAAGGGCCGGCAACGCACTTAAAATCATTTGGTGTTTTTTATTGTTTTATTGTTAAATAACAAAAGAATAATATCAGATTTGAACAATAGCGAATTGTTATACCATTTTATTGGCCACATAGGATTATGATTTCTGTGTTCATGTAAGTAACCAATAAACTAATGTCGCGCATAATTAGGTAGTTTCTTAGGTGAAAAATAAATTAACTCGGCGTTTCAATACAATAAAATATTGAAAAATAACTATACTTTTATTCATCGATCAATCGATATGCTAAGTTTTAGATATTTTTTAGCTAATTTTTAAGAAATGAGTATTCTATTTGACGCTAAAGTGCTATGACGTCATAACTCAGTTTTTCATACAAATTTCACAGAAAAGTATCGTTTTTGATATTCATACATAATTATTATTTTATGTATTGGAAAACACAGACAAACAAAATAAAATTGTATAACAATTTAGAATGGACATTACCTGCTGACAAGTCTTGGAGAGCATAACTTGAGCAATGGCGCAGTAGTTGGAGGGGAACACCTTATGCAGAGCTCTAAACAGAGACTGGTCAGACCCCGTCCACTCAGAGTCTATGTCGCCCACTGTCAGACCTGGAATGATCCATACTACACTGTAAATAAGGTTTACTTCACAACAAGTACAATGGACAGACGACCTGATTAAAATCTTAGGTATATTTAAAAAAAACTTTTATGTATTTCACTACAATAACGCCCGGTTTCTGTAAGGCTTGTGAACGCTAAAAACGATAAAATTAACTAATCTCCTGTTAAATCTCTTGTCAAGTCATCTGATTGGTTGTTGATAATTCAGTCAACCAATCAAATGACTTGACAAGAAATTAAATTGATTTTAACATTGATCGGCCTTTCGGAAACCGGTTGTTAGTCTCAAGTCTTGTAAGTTAAAAAGTTATCTGGAAGAAATGATCCTGTGTGATAAGCATGTTCTCCGATGCATTTGTAATAACTTGTACAATAAAATAAAGTAGAAATAAATAAGTCCTATATCTATTGGATAAAAGCCAGTAGACGTCCATATATCCACATAGGCGTACATCAAAGACACCCAGTTCCAGATCAATCGTTTGTTTGAAGACTATTTTCTATCAAACATTAACAGTAAGTTTTACAATAGAACCATAATTTTCAAGTAATTCTGTGGGCCGATCCCGGCGGCACTGCAATGCCGGGCCGACCCGTGACGGGAGTGGAGCGAGCCCCGAACATCCCATCAGTTTCCAAAAATCAGTTTAATATACTGGTCCCTCAGTGAGGGAACTTTCAGATATTAAGCTGAAAAGAACAGATACTACACTTTGATCTTAGCCAAAAGGCCGAGAAGCGATACCGGTGTAGTAGAAACATCGGAGGGTCATTCATTCGCGGAGAATCTTAACACCGCGATTCAGAAAAATGACGTCATTGCACAGTGACATCTATTGGCGTTTAATAGAACTAAACGTCTGTGTACTACTTTACACCGGTTGGTTGATTCGTTTTATGCTTTTGACATGTCGAACTTCTGAGAATAAATAGGAATTAATAATTAAATTATATTATACTTATGCTGATGGTTACAAATGTATCGTAAACAGAAAATTTCATAAACTTTGTATTATTTTTATATTTTATCTACAATGATTATATGTATAGTACTCTTACAGTGTAAACTTTTGTAAAAAAATATAACTTTTAGTATAAAAATTATAAGTTTAACTTTGTTTCAATATTTTTTTATGTGTAAAGGGTTCCAGGGCTGACAAATTAAAAAATATTGCTATCAAGGTATTATTTATTGTATAAGCTGTGTATAAACACGAATATTAATTCTCTTGATTGAGACACGGGCTTTGCTCATAACAATGAAAATAACCACCCATCTCATTAAACATGCTTATATGTCGTACGGAATTTTGCTATGGGGTCAAGCTGCGGAAGTAGATTCAATATTTATTTTGCAAAAGCGGGCTATCCGAGCGATATATAACTTGTCCCCTCGTGAATCTCTGAGAGAACTATTTAAAACGATAAATATCCTAACGGTACCTTGTCAGTTTATATATGAAAATATTATGTACGTAAGGAAAAATTTGCAATTATTTGAAAAAAGAAGCGATAGACACAATTTTAATACTAGAGGCAAAGATAGGCTGGCTGTGCCACGATTCCGTCTGTCCAAAGTACAGAAATCCTTTATGGGGTTCTGTGTAAATTGTTACAATAAAATTCCAAGAAGTGTATTAAATCTTAATGAACGAAAATTTAAAACTTATATTAAACGCGAATTATGTAGACAGGCATACTACAAACTTTCAGATTATATTGAGGATAAGAATGCCTGGCAGCATGTTGGTTCGGCTCCACTGGACAATTCTCAAATATGTAGTCATTAAAATTCTCAAAATTAATGAAACCTTGAATGAGTTTATATAGAAGCATTCTTTTGGATTGTGAGTACGCATATGTGAGCGCCATGTACGAGACAACAAAGGATAAAAATTTTAATGATAGATTAAATAGACCATCATTTGTTCCTTTTTATTAACAACTTGTCTCTGCATTGTTCTCACATAGGGGTACAGTAATGTATAAAAAATGTATTTTTGATGAATTGTAAAACAAATATTTTTTTAAAAAGAGTAACGATGGAGTTTCTTGCTCGTTCTTCTCCATTCGAAACTACAATTTGGAACGAGCACCTAGCTTCACTGACGAACAGACTGACAGACTACTATTCTATTTTGACGTTTCAAAAGTACCTATTTATGGTTTATTTGGAATAAATGATTTTGATTTGATTTGATTTGATTGAATAGTACAAGTATGCAAAAAACCTTGCAATTTATTTACAAGCAGATGTTTGGCATGGAAAAGGCAAAGACTCATAGCCAGAAGACAACAAGCTCTATGACCTAACTTCAAGAAATATAAAGAAACAATCACTCAAGACAAAAATGTAATGTCCTTGGTATTATCCATATTTAGTACGGAACTGAAATATGGACCAAAATGTCTGACCGCAACCGTAACCTCTTTTGAGAAGTGCTGCAAGAGATCACTACAAATCCCATTCATTTTTGGGACAGCGCGACAGTCGCCGATTCGCGTGTCACGGAATGCTGCTCATGAATATGGGCCTCTAGGATGGCTTGAAACTAGTCGAGTATCTCGTCAAATAATTACGTGAGTAAGCCGCAAACATAACAATGAAATCCCATCCCATATGCGTACCTATTGGCATGGCTGTTTTGTTTTTGTGATAACGACAACACGGGCTTCTCACAACAACTTCAACAAACGAGCGGACAATTTATTTAGTGGTAAGTGATCAGCGCCGCTCATGGAAGATTAGCTCGTTTCTTGAAGGTTTGAAAGTCTTATCGGTTCGGAAATACCGCCGCCGAAAGATCATTCCAAAGTTTTGTTCTGCGAGGCAGGTAGTTTTGCGAAAATCGCACAGTTATTAATTGCCAACCACGGAGTAAGAACAAAGAGGAGACGGCCTAAACAACTCGGCCCTGTGACACAAGTCGGCCCTCACGTCATCAAGGTGGGCGTGGCTTACGTCAGTGTAATGTGGTCGTTCGTCCTGTGCACAACTCCTATAAAATATTCATTTTACTCGTGACAGAAGAAAACAAAATAAAGTCTTGTGTTTAATCTTGTAAAAAATACTATGAAAAACGTTACGGTGCTATGGATGGCATCACTTTTCATGTATTAAGTTAATTTTTTCGTCATTTATTAAAATAGTTCTAGCAAAGTCTCTTATTGTCAGCGTTTCCAATTATCAATCTACGCGACACTAGATGTCGACACTTTGTATCATAGAAACAATTTTTTTATAGGTACGCATAGTTCAGTATTAGTATATTTTAATGATCGTTTGTATAGTAATTTGATAGACATGCATTCCTAAAGATCCTTTAATCGCCAAAATATTATTTATGTAACTTTATAAACAGACAGCCATCTATTTTCAAGTAGCATAACATAAATAAAGACAGGGCAGTAATTAGGAGTCAATTACTTTTTAAGGTTTATATCGTTGATTTATTTAAGTCGCGAATGGAATCACTCAAATTTAGCGCACCTCACCGCACGCTGTGAGTGCTAAATCATAGTGCCTGAGTGTTTGAAACTGAACGACCTTATTTATACTTCTAAAATTCCTCTTCGGTTTTTATTTCAACCCCAAATTAAGGGCATCAGGACTTGGGTCATACAACTCAGATATGTATCGCCGGTAAGCTTATGAAATGCCCACAACATACTCAGTCCTTCGTACATATCTTTCGTTCCATTGTTCGTTTATTTCGAAATATGTCGTCACATTAGGGCAGGTTTTGTTCGTTTTTCATGGTAAATAGTACCTATGACAGTCGTGAAGATAATTAGGATATTATGTTATATATGGCATTTCGCATTAGGATGTGTTATATATGAAGAATCTGGCGGTATTATTAACTTTGGAATAGCATTTAACATACCACTAGTTAATTAGATGTAATGTTCGTTATTGTTCCAAAATATTGTTTTGTGTTTTTGTGATCCAAAATATTGTTGAGGTAAAATCGGCGAACACGTAATGCAAATTAAGACGATTGCTGTTACATTATTAGAAGGTGGTAGGACCGCACACTCTTCATTAGCATTTCTATTGAATGTACAGGTGATTTAAAGTGCAACTTATAATATTTCGAGAAATTCTGCTATGGCAAAAGTTTTGCAACTAACGTCAATTATTTTATGGGATGCACTCATACAATGGCGACTAAAAAATCAATAGAAGCATTTAATCGAACCATGCAAAATTTACGCGGTACTCAACAGGTTTTTCGTGGTGCTCTGATATTGCTTTCAGGGGACTTTCGTCAAACGTTGCCTGCCATTCTTCGATCAACTCCTGCTGGTAAAAAACCTGTTTGAAGTCATCAGTTATTTGGAGATATATATGAAAATTGACACTGAACTTTAGTAATAATGCGTATTCAGCTACGTAACGATGCAACTGCCCATGAGTTTTTAAAACAATTATTAGAAACTAGCTTTTGCCCGCGACATTGTTCGCGTGGAATAGTGACTTACTGTAGATTTTGGGTTCAAAAACTATCCTATGTCAAATTTAACTCAAATAGGTTCAGTAGTTTAGACGTGAAGAAAAGACAGAGTTACTTTCGCATTTATAATATTAGTTTGGATTGGTGATGGCAAAATACCAATCGACAGTACCGACGGATCGGTCATTTTACCAAATATTTTTTATACAATTGCGCAATCTATAGATGAGTTGATTGAATGTGTTTTTCCGAATATTCTTCAGAATTGCAGAAATGATTATCTAGTTCACAGAACACACTATCAGACAATAGCACCGAAGAACATTTATATCAATGCCATTAATTTTCAATGATATATCTTTTGACTCGTTTAGAGTTTTACATAGCAAACGATAACAATTTTTTTTTGTTAAATGAACATAATAATATATTTTTGATTATATTTTATGATATACTTAAACGTAGTGAAGCACGTACCGGGCCGCTAGTAGTTTTATCGTAGATAGAGGCTTTGTCTCTTCAAGACCTATGAAGATACACTTGGAGTCTTTTATTTCGTCGACGCATCCCTGAATCGATGTAATGAATGTTTGAAGATGGCACCAGTCTAAACGCATATGCCGTTCCAAGTTACACATTAGTAAAGTAATGACATATCTAATAATAACACTCGTTATCACAAAGAATCAGCTATCAGCAGGGCATCAGCCTCTTGGTAGCATTGTATACGAGTTTCTGCTTCAGGCTACGCCCGTAACGAAATAACCCCTTTTAAATGAAAAAGATGGTTTTGATAAATGTAGAATGATTCTCATTCACCAATAATAGAAAATTAAGATATTTATTACTATTTCGATCAAAAATGCGTATCAAGATGATTCGCAAATGTATTTACAAAAAACTTTTTAAAACAACTCCCCGGTAAATTCTAAGTACGACCCTGTTGCGTTAGTGACATCTATTGTGAAATAGTTACATAACTACAAAAAGAAGTAAATTGAATAAGCGAGTAGTATTGCTATAGACCGGCAGATGGCAAATAAAAAAGTGGGCGGAGTCTAATACCCCTCACCCCGCAAAATATCACGCGGTGTTTCTTAGGGAAATCTTATTATGACATCTCTTTGTTCTTACTCCGTGTTGCCAACCATCTGTATGGTGGAGATGAAAGTGTTTTTACGTAGGTCGATGGCAAAAAGAAGCGGCGGGAATGAAACCGAACAATACTTCAGAACACTCCCAGTAGTATATATAGGCGTTAGAGAATCATAAAAGGCTTACCGTACGAATGCGTCTACATTTCACAAACTAAATATTATTATAAAAAACCGTATCTACACATCTACACATATTCTATAAAAATTCTAGTCTACTCAATCTGCCTTCGAAGATTACAGGCGTTCTTTAGTGATTGTCGTTCACTTTAATTCAAATGTTTGGCAATTAGGTAGACGTTTCAGCTCGAAACAACTAGCAAGATGCTATTCATTCAGTCAAAGAAAGGAAAAAGTTGGAAAACCTATTGGAAATAAGATTATTCCACAATTTGAAGACCCATGAAGCAAGAAGGAAGCCATGATGATAGTTACCTAGCGCATTGTATGCCGGCTCAGCAGATCCGTCGCCGGGCGCCTTCAGCTGTCCATTGCCCCAGTTGCTGTTACTGGAGTTACTGTTGCTACCTGCAATGATACACATCAAAGTTAAATAACAATAAATAAGATTTTAAATAGCGCTTTCTTTATTTTATAATAATACTACATCTTCAAATTTTTGTTGCTTATTTTTAGATTACAATCGACCAATTTTTGTCTCGATCTCCTGTTTTCCATCAGGTATGTATTAACTATGTATTCATTATTAAATTTATTATTTTTAGTACAAATATTATGTTTGAGTCTATAATAGTCTGACCAACAAGAACTAATATGTGTTATTACCTTTCTGGAACCGGTTACTATCATTGCTATCCTCAGAGGAGGCGTCGTTGGGCGAGTCCATCGCGTGAGTCTTCCCTTTGTCCTCTTCACCGGCCGCCTTCTCGCGAGCTAACTTCTCACGCATGCCTTCCTGTAACACGATTATTACGAAATAAATTCAGAGAAAGAACGACGATTTTGTCAAATGCCGCCTCACGGCATAGATGATACTGGAGGACATGACATAATCACGCCAACTATTGGCCTAAGGCACACCGTAGAACAATTTGCCAATCTTCTCGCGACCCTTTTTACTTTTTCATGGGAAAATCATCTAATGACTTTTCCCGCCCAGGGTGAGGCGAGAGAGAGTGTCAGACTCTTACTGACTAACAACGCCCCGTTGCTTCTCCTTCTTTAAGCCGAGGTCGCGGTGTAATCGCTCATTGCGAATACCCCGCAACCCCGGCTGATCTCGCCACACTGGCAGAACGAATGAAGCACAAGGTATTAGCGTAACGCACAGCATTAAAAATCCTCTACTCCAGATGTCTGAGTTTAACAAGACACTTTATTAAGCGACATTGTTTCACAATATCTCATTAGCCGTTTTTAATTTATCTGATACATAGGCTTCTCAGACATTGTAAAATAGAACCTAAATATTTTAGACCATTTTCAAAATTCAGCAACAGTGTAATAAGTCAGCATCGCCATGGTTCTAATATAAAAAAATTAAAATAATATTAATTTCGTGGTTGTCCGCTAATTAAAACGACCGCTTCTCATGCATTAATTAGGTTGTGGGTTCGAAGCCTGGACTTACGATTTCTAATTATAAGTTTGAATCGCCAATCCGCTTTGAGCAAGCGTAGTGATTGATTCTCAACTCTTCTCCGTGTGAGAAGGCTATGCTTAGCAGTGGGCACTTATAAGTTGACGATTTTAATATAAAAGTATCTCACCAAAAGCATATAGCAGCTGGAGCCGCAAGGTTCGGAAAACGGCTTGAGGTCGGGCCCCTTCCTCTTAGTCAAGTTGGGCCCCGGGTGACACGCTTGCAGACCTGTATTATACACATTTTCATGAAAATTACTATCCAAAAGCGCGTAAATGTTCAGTATTTTGAATGTAGTTTGAAATTGAATATATGATTGAAATGCATATTAAAAAAGTGATTGAAGACAATGTGTGTGTGTTAAATAGATTTTTAGTTGTTATAATTCAAGGTTTGAGACATTCCTCCAGTTTTATAATCAGTTACAGTCAATAAAAAATATTTTTTATGATTTACATGATGTTTAGTATATTATAATGTTACTTTTTCATGATTGAGAAATGCATATAGGTAATATTAAGTTATATGTACTGTACAATGTACATGGATGATACATGAATAAACATAATAATTGATTAGGAAGTGAGGATTAGTTTAAGTTACATTAAGATGATAATAAAATTATGATCAGGAATATAATTAAATGACATGGGATGTGCGATAATTGCATTAAGTATAATAATTATAATAAATGAGAAATTATAAGTGACCGGCATAATGACGCAAAATAATGTTTTTGGATTTGGTATACTTACTAGAGATATATTTTAAAGAAAAATAGACTATTAATTATGGCAAGTATACATATAATAATACTTGCTCTACTTTCCATTCATTTCTTTCTTAGAAAAATAGTTTTCTTCAAGTAGAGCTTTGTTATTGTGACTGTTGCCATTCGCTGAGAAATGTACTAAAGTGTAAAATATTTAAAGTATATCTCTAGCAATTTGCAACAATATTTTTTCATATAACCTTTGATCGGAATAGGTACAATAGCATAAATAATAATAATATCGATGGTAATGTTTGTCTGTACGGCCTTACCTGCCGTTTGACTTCCTGCACGCAAACAGAACAACAAACACTAATCAGCCCTAGAACACAATAGCTACTTATACTAAATATATTACTTATATATTAAATGCTAAAATATACTCTATTTTCTGAAATGTAAGGTATATATCTAATAATTTGACATTATTATTGTTATTTGTAATTATTTTTTCCGCCGCTAACGGCGCTAGTGTAGCTTTAGATCATTGGGGCCATGAATTTAGTCAATAATTCCTTTTATTAAGTACAAAACCAAAACGAATAATATCTGACTACATAGCTAGACTCGGGAATAGTATCTAGGCGTACTTACGGTGCAAGAAGCAGTCGTATTTGAAGCATCGTCGACAGAACAGTGTATGGAAGGAGTGCATCGTTTGTTCTCGCGATACTGACTCGGCGAGCGGACCGTCTATGTTGGGAGTACATTCTGGAGGCAGGGCGTTCGGGTCGCTGCGGGATGTCAGCTCTATGTATCTGGGAATAAGGATTACATTTGCCTATAATGTTGTGCCGCCATACCTGTGTTTCCGTTTAATGAACAAACATTGGACACCAAAGTTTCATATTCACTCTATCTGCGTATCTATATTAATTTATAAAGAATTTTTAAGTTTGTATGTAGGGGTTAATTCTTTGAACTACTGGTTGGATTTCCAAAATTCTTTCAATGATAGATACTTAGCTATAATGTTCCTGAGTGCTACAGGCTATAAATTAAACTTGATTTTCGTAATTTAGTCAACATAATATATAGCACTTAAACGCTGCTGTTTTTTAAATCTAGGGATAAAGACACTTCTTTTTTTTTAAAAAAAGAACCTCGCTTCACTTTAGGATGTTCTCCTGTGTCGTGGGTGCGTTTACAAACATACAATTCACATACACATGACACCCAGACCCGAAACAACAATTTGTGGATCTCACTAAGAGTAGTTCCGTGCGGGAATCGAACCCGCGACACGTTGCACGGCAGCCGGTTGCCCAGCCACCGCGCCAACCGTGCAGTTGTGTGAACGCGGAAGCTAGTACTTATATGTATAAATCTGTACATAATTGGCAACTTACTTC